ATGAATTCTAAAATGGCCTCTATGAGGGTGTGATGAAAAGTACCAAGCACTGATACTGGAAGTATAAATTTGTACAGCCACTTGGGGGGAGCAATTTGGCAGTATCTACTGAAACTTAAAATGGTCACCTATGGCCCACCAACTCTACTTCTTGGGATCTACCCTAGAGAAATTCTCTCACGTGCACATAAGCAAGCATGAAAGGATATGCACCAAAGGAGGGTTTTTAATAGTGAAAACCTAAAAACAACCAAAATACCCATTGTGCTGAGCCGAGTTACAGTGCCCCCAAAATATACATGTCTTGTTCCCCTGAATCTGTGCATGTGACCTCAGAAGGCAAAAGGGACTCTATAGAAGTGATTAAATTAAGGATTTAGAGATGAAGAGATTACCCTGGATTATCTGGGTGGGCCCTAAATGTAATCACAAGTGTTCTTATGAAAGGGACGCAGGAGGAAGCAGTCAGAGAAGGAGATACAGTGATGACACGTCAGAGACTACAGCGATGTCCTCTGAAGATGAAGGAAGGAGTCACAAGCCAAGGGATACAGGCGGAAGCTGTGAAAAGGCAAGAAAATAAATGCTCTCCTGGAGGCTGCAGAAGAAACCAGACCTGGCAACGCTTGACTTCTAGCCCAGTGAGACTCATTTTGAATCTCTGTCCTCCAGAAATGCAGGAGAATAAATTTGTGTTGTTTTAAGACAAAAACCAACACACACACACACACACACACACACACTCACACACACACACACACAACTCTGTATCTCTTTCCCTAGTCTGCTTATTCTTGGACCTTAGTCTCTTTCCTATATAATCATGCATACTTAATTTGAAAAAAGAAAGCCCTAGTGTATTTTGGTGTATTAATTAGCACCAAACTTAATGAAATTTTAATTAGATATTAAGGTTTAAAGATTTAAATAGCCACAGGCAGCTATTGGCTACTGTATTAGACAGGACAGTTCTGTAGTCTATCCTGTTTAAACAGACCTGACTATTGTCAGGTCTAATTGTGCTGCCCAGCTGAGGTTTATTTATAAATGTTGTCTTTTTAGAGGATCAGCCTAATAATTATGTGTTTTAAACAGTTAATAAATGTGTGGAACAGAGGGTACTTTGATAGGGTTTGAAAAATTGGGTACCCAGTAAAGGAAAGTCTGGGTTGGAAGCAGGGACCAGAATCCTGGAGAAAGGTTGATGGAGTTTAAGACATGCTAGGACTCAAGTCATGGTTGTCACTTAGCTGTGGAGCCCCAGGCAAGTTATTTAACCTCTCAGACTGCTACTTCCTCTGAAAAGTGGACGGTACCAGCCCTGACCTCCAGGCAGGGCCAGCTGCGTAGTTTGTGGGAGCCCGGTGCGAAATAAAAATGTGGGCCTCTTGTTCAATCATTTCGAAGAATTTCAAACTGACAGCAGCAGAGCATTAAACTAAGTGTGGGCCCTTCTGAGCAGAAGTCGGGCTGGGTGGCCACTGTTGAAACAGTAGTGGCGACATGTGCTAGGCAAAGACACACGTGTGTGCTCACTGCCCAGCGGCTGCTGGCCTGGGGGGCAAGGCTGGGGTGGGAGCTCTTTCCTTACATTGGTTTTGGGTCTTCCCTCTTTCTTCTCCTTTCCTTACAGCCAAATATTTTTCTAGACTTGTTTGTAGTCAAGGTCTCAAATGACTGCAGTCCAGCTTCCTGCAATTACCTTCATCAAAGGGTGGGAAGAGACCGTGCTGGTTCGGCCCTCTCATTCATGGGAGCATTGAAAGGTTCTTAGGAGGCCGGGTCTCAAATGACTGCAGTCCAGCTTCCTGCAATTACCTTCATCAAAGGGTGAGAAGAGACCGTGCTGGTTCGGCCCTCTCATTCATGGGAGCATTGAAAGGTTCTTAGGAGGCCAGAGGCAGGGAGAGAATCTCCAGGCTGATATCAGATTGCACGCCTTCTCGCTTCCTCATAAGCATCTTTAAAGCCAAGAAGCAGCCCTGTGAACCCCAAAACAGAGAACAGTGAGCCTGGGCTTGGGAAATGTTTGCATGCCCCTGAAGTGATGGCTAAGGGGGCCTTGATGTGGCACGGTTGTGACATGATCCCGGAAGCCACACACGTGTAAGCTGTGCAAACAGAGAACAGTGAGCCTGGGCTTGGGAAATGTTTGCATGCCCCTGAAGTGATGGCTGAGGGGGCCTTGATGTGGCACGGTTGTGACATGATCCCGGAAGCCACACACGTGTAAGCTGTGAGTCCCCTCTTCCCATGGGAGCCAGAATCCATGAGAGGTATGGGCTGAAGGCAGGGCTGAGGGTAGAGGAGACAGGTTTGGCAGTGGCCTGGGGGCTATCGGTGGTTTGCTCAGTGGCTCTAACACCAGTGCCTGAGCATCCCTGACTTGGGGGGGAACCTACCAACATGAAGTCCAGAGAGGGCTCATAGGTGGGGGCAGGAATGCCCTGTGCCCTGGCCTAGGGCTAGATATTTTGTCCCTGAGGCTCCTTTCCCCCATTTGTGGCCTCTTGGAGGAAGAAAAGAAGACAGAGGAGACAAGGACCCTCTAGACATCCTGGGGGTTCACCAGACTCCAGATTCCCAGGAAGACCCCGTCTCTGGGTTTAAGAAGTAGTGGAGCACTGTGGGAAGCTGCATGGTCACTGCCCTGCCTCTTGCTGGTTGTGACCTTAGGCAGGTGACTCCATCCTGCTGGGACTCCTTTTCTCACCAGCAACCTGAAGATAAATTTTGCTGCTAGGGTCATCAGAAGGTGCCATGAGACAGGTTTGCAAAACTCTTAACACAGAGTATTTGTCTGACATCTTATTCCTTCTCTCCATCTGGAGTCCTTAAGTATAACACCTGCCTAAAGTCACTGCTGAAGCACAAAGTGTCTCTATTCTGACAATTAAATGTCACAGACATTATTTCTAGGGCACTCACTGTGCTGGGCAATGTGAGGCAGATGAACCAAGTACAAGACATGGGCCCCTGTCTCTGAGAAAAGTATAAGCTTGTCAGGCAAAAGACATGCAAGTTCCAACTTGTTAAATTATGAAGTGAATGTAGCTAAATGCAGAATTATGAATCAACAAGACTATTGGGATTTACAGGAAGAGCTTGGTGGGGCTGGAGGGCTTCCTGGAGGAAGTGGGCTCTGTGGTAGGATTTTCATTGATAGGGCAGGAGGGAGGGCTGCTTTTGCTGTGAGTTGCCAGAAACAGCAACATGAGCAAAGGTGTGCCCATGACACACCCTGAGGATTTTGAGCCCTGTTGGAATAGAGCTCTGATGTCACAGGTCAAGGGGAGGGAGAGGTCTGGGAGGTAAGGAAGACCAGTTGGTAACCTGACGGTGCCATACCTCTGGCAGGAGACCAAGGATTTTGTTCTGAGGGCCAACCAGATCTGGAGGCACAGATTTCAGAGCGAGGGAAGTCACATGATGAAAAAGAGTGGTGGAGAGGAGGGGAGGATGGATGGGGGCAGCATGTGGAGCAAGCAGGGCGTGTGATGAGACGAACCAAAGTCAGGTCCAATATTCTGGGCCTGAGCGGCAGAAGGAACCGAAGCATTCTAGAGCTGGAAGTGACCTTAGAAGATTTAATCTTGTGTAGCCATTTGAGAAGACGAACCCAATTCAAGGCCACATGGCCAGTAGGGGCAGAGTTTGGAGATGGGCTTATGCCAAAGGGTGAGAAGATTAGAGTTAAGGAGATAATGAATTTATCTCTGGAGTCATCAGGTTTGGGGTATCACTGGGATATATGAGCTGATAAATCCACCAGGCTGCTGAAAATGAAAGCAGGTGCCAGCTAGGCACTGTCACCACAGAATGGAGGACACAGTTGTTAACTCCATGGGGCAGTGTGCAGAGAGAAAAGGAAGAAGGCCAAAGACTGGATCTCGATGCCTGAGAACAGGACCCAGAAGGGGCAGTCAGAGAGGTGGGATGCAGCCCAGATGTGCCCATGGTGATCAAGGACATGGTGGTCAAGGTGGTCAGTGCTGACCAAAGGCATGGACTCTTGACTCTGATCTCCCCAGCCCCACTGTAGCATATTACAGGTGGCAGGAATTCTTTGACACCTCTCTCACTGAGATATGGGGGTTCCTGGCTTTCTCCCCTTAAATCTGGGCAGGCTCTGTCCCATAGAATAGAATGGAAGGGATGCCATGCCAGCGTCCAGGCCCAGGCCTCCAGAGACAGGCAGTGCTGACTTCCTACCTCTTGGAACCCAGCCATCGTGTTGCTAGGAAGTCCAAAAAGCCTTGTGGAGAGGTGCAAGTGACGAGGAATCAAAGCTCCCAGCCAACAGCCAGCGTTAACTTGCCAGTTGTGTAAATAGAGCCTCTTGAAAGAGGATTCTAATTGTGCTGCCCAGCTGAGGCCACATGGTGCAGAGACAAGCAGTCCCTGCTCAGTACCGATCAAGTGAAAGATTGAATTGTTCACTAAATGATGGGGTGGATTTTGTCTCCTTGGTGCATTCAACAGGACACCCTTGGGTCTCCTCTCCAAGTGCACGGTGGATGGTGGGGGGCTACCCAGCGCCTCCCTCTCCCACCCCCTCCCTTTACTTCAGCTTTGGCACTGGGCTTACAGCTCAACTGTAGTCAATGGCTAGGTGGTTCCAGGCCTCTATGGGGCCAGGTATTGAGAGTGGTCACAGAGAAGAGCTCAACAAGAACCGAACAGAACAAGCTCCGGCCTCTGAGTTACCCACTGAGTAGCTTCCATCCTTCTGCTTGCACAGTGTGACCTGAAAATGAGTGGTAGATAGATTCCAAGACTCATTTTTATTTCAGGACAAAACTGTCTGCTTCACACGCTGTGTGGCATCAAATGGAGAAGAAATAGCTTGCTGCCCAAAGCCCGGCTCCTGTACCATGAACACAGGCAGAAGACAGCCGCTGTTGAGCCCAAGCTGAGCCTGTCACATAAACAACTGGGACACTGGGGCCTCGACTGAACCAGGGCACAAGTAGCTGAAGCATTTAAACAACTTGATACTCATTTTTTTGTATATTTGTTTATTTAAAAAAGTATAGGAAATGAACAAATGCTACCTAAAAAGTATCTACAATGAATAAATAATTTCCAGCTAAGCTCTGCAGATTCACACAAACCAGTCCTCTAACCTTTACCAAGGCTTTGTCTGATGGGCCTACGCTTGTCTCTCCTGACTCTTCCTTGAGACCCTTCCCCTCTGTGGCAGGGCCGTGGCATTCGTGAGTGGCCCTCCACGCAGGCACAGCAGGTGGCACTAGCGAAGGTAGCTGGGCATTGGCATGCCTGGGGTGGAAGGGCACTGTGCTGCACACAGTAGGCATCAACAAATGGCGTTTGCCCGGTTGCCAGGGACTCCAAAATGTTTCACCTAAGTAGGGCCTGGGCTTAAAAGAAAATCACCAGGTTTACTCAGGCTGGGCCCCTTCACTGAGGCACAGCTTCAGAAAACATTAAATCCATCTGAGGTCTCAGGAAGCCAGCAACTTGGCCCAGAGTTCTGAGCCCTCAGTTAAAAGAAAATGGCCTCATGGGGCCCTTGCTAGTGCCGGTGACACATGTGGCAGCCTGCTAGCCCAAAGATGGCCTGTCACCCCGTGGGGAGCTCGGCGTACTGAGAGGAACCAGAAGAGCAGGGGGCTGGGGAAGGTAGAGAATGGAGGGCCAGGCTCGGCACGCGCACTGCAGGCAAGCTTCCTTCAGCCGAGGGCGGGAGGCCGTGGCCCTCTGCCGGCCCTTCACGGAGGGGGTTTGTCAGCACCTCGGTCAAGAGCCAAGGGCAACCGGGCAGGAGCCAGCCTTTCAGAAAGGGAAGGTGCCACTGGCAGCACCGAGGGCATTAAAAAAAAAAAAAAAATCCTCTTCCTTCTGGAATGCGTTCAAGAGACCTTGGGACACACACCATTTAGGAGACTAAACCTTTCCATTGAGGCCACGTGAATAAGCAGAGGTGGTGCGGATCCAAGGTGAATTCACTGAACACAATGAAGAGCATTTATTTTTCAAAGGAGGTTTTTGCCATAGTAATATTGAACTTCGGACTCTGCTGACAAGCTGTAACAATCAATCCCTCTCCTCCCAGATTAGATTGGGGTCACAGAGGCAAACACCCACTGGAGCTGGGCTGGTAATTAGTATACTACCTTCTCTCTTGATAAGAGACCTGAGTCCCAATCTTTCCTTTCCCTTACAAGAAAGGCAACTGTGCAGGGGCATTGGTCAATAGCAACAAACAGCCTCACGGTGGGAGGCAACAGGGAGTGGTGGGGACTGTGGTGAACAGGTGACCTAGATGCCCCATCTAAGGCAGAGCTGCTACTCAGCTCCAGCCAGTCGTTGCTCAGTGAGAATGTGAGCCCCATCATGGCCAGATCTTCTGATTTAGACTTTTATGTAAAATTTTTGTAATTTTAAATATTAGTAACTAATTCTTTAAAAAGACTCTGCAAGCTAAACAAAACACCTCCGTGGGCTGGGTCATTTTATTGGTCCCGTGGGAGTCAGTAGCAGGAAGGTGTGGTAGGCAGAATAATGTTACCCCGAAGATGTCCACGTCCTAATCCCCACCTGTGGATATGGTGCCTTACATGGTAATAGGGACTTTTCCAATGTGATTAAGTTAAGGGTCTTGAAATGGGGAGATTATCCTGCACTTTCTGGGTGGGCTTTATAAGAGAGAGAGGGAAGCAGGAGAGTCAGTGTCATATTGATGCCCCATGAAAAAGACTTGAACAGCCATGGGAGTCGAGGAAAGTGGGCAGCCTCTAGAAGCTGGAAAAGGCAAGGAAGTGATCCTCCCTAGAGCCTTCAGAAGGAGCACAACTCTGCTGACATCTTGATTCTAGCTCTGTGAAACCCACTTTGGAATTCTGATCTCCAGAACTGTAAGGTAACAAATTTGTGTTGTTTTTAAGCCACCAAGTAATGTGTGACAGCAGCAATAGGAAATGAATACAGGTGGCCACTCTCTGGTATATATGAGTACTTAAACTTTTTTAGAAGATGAATATATTCTATAAATTTCTGTCTAAATGTCAAAGAATTGCTGCAGGTGGGAGAGCCACACATAGTAACTCGAGGAAATTTCTCTTATTTCTGGGACTAAAGGACAATGAGACTCGAATTTCTGCAGTGGGATAACCACATGCAGACTGAGAGAGCCAGGAAGTCTCTTATCAAAGCAGATCTGTGTCAACGCTGCTCAAACACACACACCCTTTTCTGGCTGTACAGATTGCAAGTTATTCCCACCTCCCAGTTTATCTAGTGGTCAGCAGAAGTCAAAATCCAGCCATCCAAACCATTTAGCATGAGTTGTTACTAAGTCAGGTGAAAAGAGCTGTGTGATTACACATCTCACCTCTTAAATACACCAAATAAATAATAATAATAAAAAGGCACACTGTCATTTTCATCCAGGGACCCCAATGAGAGCAGGGACCTCAGGTCTGCTCCTAGGAATCAGAATTGTTGCTCCAAAGAGGGCGAGCTTCTGTTTATCACTCCGAATCCAGGGCTCACTGCAACCCTGTGCTGGGTGACTCACGCCTCTCTCCACTTGTTGCAGCTGATTTACAAAACAACCTGGGTTTAGAAGGACATGAACTGCGTAGACTGTATCCAGGTCAGAATTCATCATGTTCAACGTCTCATCGTTGGAATGAGTCCACTGAGAAATCTGAAGTTGGTGGTGTCCAGGAAAACCTTCTGCTGTTCCTTCCATATAATTCCTCTTCTTTAGGATTTCTGGGAGGAACACTAAAGGGTATCTTAGTGCCCTGACTTATGCACCTCAGCAAAGTCTTTGGGATGGGTGCAAGTTATTCTGCTGGCTCCACTGGCTCCTGGGTATCCAGCAGGGGAATGTCTGTGTTCCCACTGTGCACATCCCCATTGCTGGGGTGGGAGAATGTGTATGGTTCGTTCTCAGATTCAGGAGGGAAGCAAGGGGGTGACTCATCTGTGGTCAGCTTTGCAGTCGGCGCCCTGGAGCATATGTGGGGTGGGGAGGGAGGGCAGTCCCCCATGGGGCCCTGGAAGGGCCGGTAGGTGTCCACCTCAGGCTGGAGGAAGGAACCATTAGAGCCCTGTAGTAGATGCCCGTACACCATGGTGTCATCGATGACTGCGTACACGTGGGAGTCATTATCCTTTCGTCCTTTTTGAAACTTTTTTAGCTGCTTCGGCAACTGCGTATTGATGTTGCCATTGTAGATACCCACGGCAGGGCCCTTGTTAATCTTCTTTTTTCTATTTGGTAAAAGAGAACAAGACAGAAGTCAGAAAGAAAACCATCTTAGCAGTGTGCCATTGACACAGCCCTACCAGAGCTTAGACTCTTCAGGGTTCTGCCCATGTGCTTCCCCCAAGTCTCTCAAATTGCTTAGCATTTGAAATGGAAACTACCATCCTCAGTGAACATGTAGAAGGGACCAGCTTTTGTCTCAAGTTTTCAAGGTGGAAACTTTCAAGGTGGTAGGCAGTGGTTTAGAGAGGGCACCTTTATTACTATCTGTGCTCAATTGTTTTTGACAGATAATGCGGTATCCAATGGTGGAGACATCTGACAATCTGTTCCCATTCTTCCTGCTAGGAACGGTGGTGCCCCAGCCCTTCTAATCCACACCAAGCTCAGCAACAGCCAGGCCAGCCTTCCAGGACTCTCAGTACTTTCCTGTAGCTAATGTTTCATCCCATTTTGCATGGGTAAAAGCTCTCCCTCTAGATTCTAAGCATGGTACTTCATGGGTACCATGGTACCAATGCTAATACATGGGTACTTCAAAAGAAATCGTGGAAAAATGGAATTAAAAAATAAAACGAATCCTTCCATGAACTTTTTGAAGTTTGAGACTCAGGAGGGAAGGTTGTAACTTAGTTTTCAGCTTGAGTTGGAGAGAGTAGAACTCAGCATTAGCAGAGTAACCTCCAACAGAGAAAAGAGCTAAAAAGGAGACAAAACCCAGACTGCGGTACCAGAGTTCCTCAGCAGCACCATTAACGTTTGGTCCATCATGTTCTTTGGTACTTGGACGTAGACGGGCATTAGCACTCCCTGCCACAGAAAAAAAAGCTTTGCCCTCCATCTCCACGAACCAAACAGCAGGAACACTGGCTTTTTAGCTGACCAGTGATTCAAATGGAGGATGTTGGCTCAATTAGCATAATGGACCATAAAACACACAGGCTGGCAGTTCACTAATTGTGGATGGGCTCCTTGTACTTTTCTGAGATAAAAATAAAAGGAACACTGGCTTTTTAGCTGACCAGTGATTCAAATGGAGGATGTTGGCTCAATTAGCATAATGGACCATAAAACGCACAGGCTGGCAGTTCACTAATTGTGGATGGGCTCCTTGTACTTTTCTGAGATAAAAATAAATCTAGTACCATTAGCCTGTAACACCGAGTATCTGGCCAGGATGAGGGGTTCCTGTGGCTCCTGTGGAAGTCCTCCTGTGTCCCCCACCGTGTCTGCTTGTCCCCCAGAGCTCTTCTCAGGCTGTCCTGACATTGCCTGTTTATTTGCCTGCCTCTTCTGTCCCCACTTCCCCCCATCGCACATGTGGGTCGTTGTGCTCAGGAGACCCTCAGGAAAGTCCTGCTTAGTAAGCATGCTTGGTGGCAATGTTTCCTGTCGTTCTCACTGCAGAATCCCTCTGGCCTCCTACACCAATTTGGGAAGGAAAGGACTTATGCAAACCTGCCACCACACAAGCAAGGTGGCCTCACACAAGCAAGGACCACAGCAAGGCTGGTGATTCTCAGGCCCAAATCTCAGGCCAAGAAGGGAGCATGGAGGCTAGGGCTGGACCTGTCCCCTCACCAGTTTCCTCCTGCTGAGGAAGCTGGCGCCCAGCGTTAACACCACACTTGCCCAACTGGGGTGACATTCTTGTACCCCAGATGGGAACATTTCCAGAGAGAAACGGTAACATGATGTTTGAGTAAAAGAAGTCCTTTTCCTTCCTGTGATATATGTACAACCACATTTCGTGGAGAAAAGGCCTCTCCCTGGGCCTGCTGCAAGCCCATCTTTCCTAACCAGCAGAGACATTATTGGATAGTTCCCTACAGATCGGGAATTTCAGTTGCTTGCTCAGGACCACTGTTCATTAAAAAAAATTACTTTTGGCTGGCTTTCTGGAAGGTCAAATCACGCTAAGGAAAACAGGCTTCTCCCTTCTCCATGGCTTTCATCAGAAATATGAGCAGAATTTATAAAATCTGGTGGAAGCATGGATTCTGTCTAAAGAGGTCAATATCTTCCTTTCATAAAACAGAAGCTGTCATCCTGAGGGGTGGCAGGTGAGACTGAGGCAATTAACTGGGTCATCCTTCCTCTCCCCCAGAGGGCTGGCTTGAGCTGGGTTGGGGTCTAATAAAAGCAGACTGTTTAAGAAACTGCAGGAAAACAGGCCTGGCAATATGTGTTAGTTTTCCTCAAGGTGATGGAGGGAGTGGGTTTAGAGGCCTGATCTGGTGGGGACTACATGAGCGTTTTCTTGCTGAGACCCCTGTGATGATCAACCTGATGAGCAAAGTCCGCTCCTTGACAAAGGTCAGGCAGGCCACCTGGTCGCTGGGTACGCTAATGTTCCAGGACACTGAGGTGAGGGATGGCAGGCCCCGGTCCCAGTTAGGAGTCCTCAGGTAGACCTTGCTTTTTGTGTCTGGGGTCACTGTGAAAATGCCTTCCTCTGCAGGAAAGGGGAGGGGATGCAGACACATGTGGCTTCACTCAGTCAAAATGGAGAGAAAAAGGATTGGTGGAGGAGACAGTGCTGAACTGTCTAGACCAGCGCTGTCCAACAGAACTTCTGCAATGACGGAAATGTTCTATGTCTGCACTATGTCCAATGGAGTAGCCATTAGCCACATGTGTCTGTTGAGCACTTGAAACATGTCCAGTGTGACTGAGAAACTGTATTTTTAATTCATTTAATATTAACTTAAATTTAAATAGCCACATGCAGCTCGTGGCTATTGTATTGGTCAGTGCAGGATTAGTTTCAAGATTAGGTGCTCAGGTCTTTTGAAAAAAACAAAACAAAACAACAAGCAAACAAAAAGCAGGCCAGTTTGCCAAACCAGTGGTTATCTCAGCTTGCTTTTAGAAATGCTCTCAACATAGCTTCACGGTCATCTCCTGCCTCACTCCACAGTGGGACTGGTATGTACTACAGACATAAAAAAAACTTCAGTTTGGGGGAAGAATTCTAGACTTGCAAAGCTGAAAGAGCTTCTAAAATGTCAACTAATCCATTCCTTACCTTCAGGTGAGATAAAACCCTAACATTCCACACTGATGAGAATGTGTCTTATTTTCAAAGACTCCGTAGGAATTTCTCTGGTAAACTTGGAGATGTCAGGCAACCTGGACTGACCTTAATTTTATGGCCAAAGATTCTCTTCCCCGCCCTCATGCCTCTGAGAACAAAAGTATGAAGTAAACATCAAGCAAAGGTCTTGGTCAATTTTAAAAGGACTCTAACTTAATATGACTGTTCTTTGAGCACCTTGTAATGTCGACTGTGACTTTTAAAATCAGCCAGGTAGGGTTCACTGCTGTGAACCATTTTGACCTCATTTACTACCTCAGAGCACAGAACACCACACACAAGCCTTCCAGAAGGGTCCACGCCACTGTGCTAGAGACACAACTTCTGGCTCCAGAGATTCATCTCTCTCCCAACATTCCTCCCTCTGTGCTCTCCAGACTGCATTCCAAATTGTAAAAGCAGAACCATAAAAATGTCCACATAAGGATTTTTATGTTACTGCCTTAAAAATCCAGGACTGGAGAATATTTGGTTATTTCTCATTTATACCCTGCCTGCTTCCAAAAAAGGCTTAAGCCTGATTATTTGTTCTGCTGCCTACCAACCATCACCTCCCACTGTCAGAAACATTTTTCTTATTTCTAACCTCTGGAATTTTCCATGCTAGATTAATAGTGAAGTCAGAATTAGGACTCACCATTGCTCAAATTTCTTGTGAGAAAGACCAGCGCACTGAGTTATACCTTCTCTCCAAATTGATAACTTAATTAAGATGATCACAAAACCAAAATCAAATGAACACTCAAACAAGAAAGGTGAAGGGGGCATGGAGGTGGGGAGAGAGAGAGAGACAGTCCCCTTACCTTTGAAGTACGGTATATAGGACACATTCAGGCCCTGCTGGGAGATCTCTTTTTGGAAGGTGGGGGTAAAGGTGCGAAGGGTCACTGAGATGTTCTGCTTCACCTGGATCTGCTCTATAGACCCTCCAGGGCAGAAGGAGCCGAAGTACAGGTCCTGGCCGGGGACAGCGCTGGCCACCAGGTAGCTGAAGCTGGTGCTGCAGCCCCTCTCGTGTGTGTGCTGCTGCAGCTTCTGGGCCGGCACCAGCGCCAGGCTGAGCCTGTCCTTGGGCACCAGCAGCTTCCAGGAGAAGTCATGCAGCTGCACGGGCAGCTGGAGGATATTGCTGGGCACCCAGAGTGTGTAGGNGTGGGGACTACATGAGCGTTTTCTTGCTGAGACCCCTGTGATGATCAACCTGATGAGCAAACAGTAAATGACCCACTGGGGCCTTTGCTGAGGCCAGTGCACAATGGACTGCAGGCAAAAATGTCACAACAGGTGGTTTTTCGTTCCCTCCCGACCCCAGGTAGGGGACTTTTTTCCCTGAAAGCATAACTCACATCTGGCAATATTATTTAACATTGATGCTTAGGGGAAAAATGGGAAGTGAGAAAACAAAGTCAATAACTAACAATACATCTGGCCTGTGAGATCTGAGGAGGCATCAAATCAGCCAAAGACAGTGTGAGAGTTTCCACCTACTTCTTTTTCACAAAGCAAATGATGAGTCCCAGGCCAAACAGCAGTAAGGCTCCACCTGCCACCACTGCGATGATGATGACTGTCAGGTCTGTGAGCAGAGACACAAGGAGACAGAGAGGAGACAGGTGGGGTTAGCCCAACGATGAACTTGAGTAGTCTCCAGGGACGGCCACCATCCACTCCTTCCCTTCTGTTCACACGCACATGCTGCTCCTCACATCATGAAGTCTATTTCTCTTCCTCTTGGATCTGGGCTGGGCAAGAGAAGGTGGCTGTGACAGTTCTAGGCCTAACCTTTAAGAGGACTGTCAGCCTGCACTGTCTCTCTGAGGGGAAGCCAGCTACTATGTACGAAGTCTGACTCTGCTGAGACCACCATGCTGTGAGGAAGCCCAAGCTAGCCACGTGGAGACTCCATGGGCAAAACCCCCAGCCCAGCTGAAAGTGAGGACCAAGGCCCCAGACACTTGTCCAGTGGAGCCATCCTGGCCATCCTCTAATGTTCCAGGCGTCTGTCTGGGGCTTCAGATATCCTGGAACACAGGTGAGCCACCCTGCTGTGCCCTCTCCAAATTCCTGAACCACAAAATATGAGCAAACAAAATGGTTATTGTCTAAGCCACTACATTTGGGTACAGTTTGTATGCAGCAATGGGTAACTGAAACAAACTGGGGGACCTACCAGATCTACTCCAAAGGCTACTCCTGGTCTATACCAGGAGTGCTCCCCCAGTCACCACAGCCAGTGTTGGAGAAGGTAAGAGCAGAGGAGTGTAGGAGCCAAAAGTCAGAAGTGAAGGAGGTAAGGAGAAGATTGTTTCATTTGGGCTGTCCTTTTCCTACAGTTGTGCAAAGGAAAAAGAAAATAAATCAGAGAAGAAACCCTGAACCAAACAAGGATTTAGAATGTATTGCTTGTTTACCAAGAAAGCAAAAGGTGAGATTTAGAGAAAATAGGAATAGAAATAAATGACAGAAAATGAACGTAAGAGAGGAAGAAAACCCAGGAGGTAAGCTGAAAGTGTGGGAGACCTTTCCACTTGTGGCTTTTTGTTCCCATCAATTCTCTTCCTACTAACTGGTTGTGTGGCCTTGGGTGGACAATCACTCTGACCACCAGAAAGGGAAGAGGCTGGAAGAAGCAGCCTTCATGGTCCCTTCTGGTTCCCACACTCGTGAGGCTCTGTGGCCATCACCAAATAAAGGGTCTACATCCCCACCACAAACGCATGCCTTTGCTTGAAACGTTCAGTGGGTCTTGCAACTTTGAGGAATAAAGGCAAACTCATCCTCCCAATTCCAAGGCCTGCCACAGAGGGCAATGAATGGATTCGTGTTTCACCGAGACTAAATACAAAATACCAGCACCATGAACCTCTTCCATACTTTCCAGGTCCCACATTTTAGGTCCCAATGCTGGGTGCCTTGATATTTTTATGAGGTGGTCATTATCATCTACTCTACAGATGAGGAAGATCATAGGAGTAAAGAGACTTCCCAATGTCAGAGAGAGATTAATGGTAAAGAACAGTGGTAGATTGACTAAAAAATTTAGGTTGGCCAGAAGAATGTGATAGAAGGGATGGTGTGTGAGCTCCTAACCTAATTATCAGGAGACCCTGCATGCTTCCTTGGTCTTTGGTGGATCTCTCTGCCTCTGCCATGACGACAGGCCCAGGCTAGAGGATAAGAGACCACACGGAGGGGAGCCACATAAACCCAGTTGTCTTGGATGATCTTGGCCCCAGATGTGTGATAGTGCCCAGCCACAATTAGCAAAGTCCTCCAGCCAACCTGCATCTGACCACGGGTGCATGAGAAAGTGAGCCCTGATAAGCCTAGCTTGGACCAGAATTGCCTAGCCAATGTGTGAGCGATAATAGATGGCTGTTTTTAAGCCACTGTGTTCTGGGGTGGTTTGTTATGCAGCATTATTGAATGAGAAAGTGAGCCCTGATAAGCCTAGCTTGGACCAGAATTGCCTAGCCAATGTGTGAGCAATAATAGATGGCTGTTTTTAAGCCACTGTGTTCTGGGGTGGTTTGTTATGCAGCATTATTGATATAATAGCTGACTGATACATGGACAGCTTGGACTCAATTGTGTTTTATGACTTGTCTCCTAGGCTTGCTCCTTACCCTTCAGCTGCCAATTTTCTTTCCACTGCCATCTCCCAAAGACCTTGAAGGCCCTTACCCATAGTCCTTGGGGCAAGTGTCACCCAGAAGAGCAGGTCCAGCTGCTTGCCACTGACAGGACTGCAGTTAGAGATGTTGACCCAGAAGCTGTGTTGGTGGAAGCTTGGCTTGGGGAGCACATCCTCCTCCAGGGTGAAGATCTCCTCGGCCCGAGCACGCTGCTCCTGGATGATCATGAATGCTCTCCCCGTCTGGCATACCACACCAGTCCGCTCCTTGACAAAGGTCAGGCAGGCCACCTGGTCGCTGGGTACGCTAATGTTCCAGGACACTGAGGTGAGGGATGGCAGGCCCCGGTCCCAGTTAGGAGTCCTCAGGTAGACCTTGCTTTTTGTGTCTGGGGTCACTGTGAAAATGCNTAGCTTTCCGTCCTGCTCTCTCACATTTCTACCGTCTGTTAAACTGGCAGACAAACTCCCAAGGAGTACTTCAGGATGAAATGCTCTCTTCTTTTCTGCTCACGTTCTTTCCTCTGTGTGTCTGTGTCTTAGGTGCTAAGAGACAAGTGGGCAGGGCAGAGGTTTTCCCTCCACCCAGGCACGCTGCCTGGGGTCCCTGTCTGCGGGAGGCAGCTCTGTGCAGTGGTGAGAGCTGTGAGTGGCTCTGGGGAGATCTCAGCTTGGACTCCGTGCTGCCACTTCCTCACGGGGTGGCCTCGGGCAGGCTCCTTTACCCCTCATGGCCTCAGCCCCTACACTGTAGAGACTCTGAGAGCACCCACATCAGAGATCTCAGTGGCCCAGCAGGGAGATGACTATCGGTTTGGCTGTCCTCCATTCATCAAAATTTCTTAGGGGACTAGCACGTGTCCAGCACTGTCAGGGGTTAAATGAATAAAAAATGGAGCAAGTCAAAGTTCTGGACCTCAAGGCTCTGGGTCTCTGTGTGTGGGAGCAGGAAAGTGGGCAGTGATGCAGACAGTGGGGACAGGGGGCGTTTGGCTGGGGAGGGCTAAATGAAGTAGGGGTGGATCTCACAAGGTTAAGGCAGAGGGCTGGGCGGAGAGGCATGGGCATGGGCACGGGGAAGGGCGACACACTTCTGAGGATGCATGTTCCAACGGAGGCTGGTCCCAAAGGCAGAGCGCTAACGCCGCGCTCCATTTGCCTGCTGGTCACCCTTGCTCACCTGCACTGTGGGGGGCATTTCTGATCATTCGATTTACAACCTCCCCACTGAACCCCACCAAGAAGTCGGGCAGTGAGGGGAGAGCTGCCCAGAGCCCAGAATGAATGCACTAAGGGGCGTACTTATGGTCTTTTCCACGTTCATCCACAGGCGTGTCAGGTCATCACAAAGGAAGGAGATCTTGTGTTTGGAGCCAGGAGTCAGGGTGAGGTTGGTACTGCAGGTCCGAGACTCTAGACACACGAAGCAGCCGGGGACAAACTTGCGGGTTTGTTTGACTGGCCGAGGCTCGATGGTGAGGGACATGGCTCGCTCGTTACTTAAGTCAACCACGTACGTTTTATCTGAAACCACATATAGAAAACCAGCATGAAGCATGGGTCAGCAGCAACCACGTGAAAGGGCAAAAATTAGTAGAAAACCTCTCCTGTGGAAGAAATTGACATACGGTGTCATGGCTGGGGAATGTTGGATAAACACATTATTATTAAGGCAACATTACAATAACTTTAAAAGAAGGTTAAAAAGAAAAATGGGCCTCACCTTAATAAAAACAAAGAGAATATCATTATAAATGTGGAGTAAACACAAATTATAAAAGCAAAAAAAAAAAAAAAAGATTAAAATATCTGACAGTAGGTGCCATAAATAACGTTAAAGAATGAAGGACACACTGGGAGAAAATGTTTGCAATATAGAATGACTTAGTAGACTTAGTTTCACCTTAAATCACTAACATCTTTTTAGTGTCAAAAGGAAAAGAAAAAGGAAAAAAAAGAACGATTGTGTAGTTCACAGAAAAGGAGACATAAATGTTCAAATATTCAAAATATAAAAAGTTCTTACCGTTACTTGTGATCAGAGAAAAGCAAATTGAAACAAGGTGTTGCTGTTTCCCCTGATCAAATGGGGGGCATACCGAGAGCTGTGGGGAAACAGGCACTCTCCCACATGGCTGTCAGGAGCCTGGAACAGCCTGTCACACGAACTTGGGAATTAGCATAAAAGTGAAACCTCATCCCCTGGGACCCATGCAGCGTGATGTGTGCCCATGTTTCACTCCAGCACTGTGATTGTAGAAAACTAGTAACCACCTAATACCAGGATAGTTAAATAAACCGCGGGACATTCAGTAATGAAATATCATGCAGCAGTTAAAAAGAATGTTATCCCCAGAAGGGGATACACCACAACCCCTGAAGAGCACTGTTTACGCAGTTGCTTTTTAATTACATTCATTCTGCTTTTATAAAAAAATCAGGAAAATAGGAAGGTGCCTGTGCAAGGCAGTGCTGTGTTTGTAATCCAAGGGGGTGGGCAATGCCACCCATCAGATCACTTTGCCTCCCTCCCTGCAGCTCCAGCAAATAAGTTCAACTTCAGATGGGAAAGCTCTGATTCCCAAGAGGGCTAAGCTTCCTTCTTCTTGGTAGCAAGTACCATATAATTAATGGAATTGCTCCTTTTGAACTGGCTGCCAGGGAGCTCAGTGTCAAATTAGAAGCATAGTTAGGGAAATGTCTTATGGTCGTTATAACTATTAACTCTTTTTTTTTGTCTTTTTTCATGTCCGGCAACGGATCGCAACCCTCAGTGTCGCGCCC